AAAAAAAAAAAAAAAAAAAATCTTGCTAGCTAGTTTTATGCATCGGCATATATACACTGTACAAGTGAGAAACAGCAGAGAACTGTCATAACACAGGTACTACATAATACCTGATGAGCTTGTCTCCATTATCTCACCTGCTCACTCAAATTTTGGGTCGTGACAAAAAAAAAAGCCCAGAACATTTCTGCCCTGCACAGAAATGTTAAACTGTGGATTTTTTTTTCCCTATCTTGTTTTATACCAATCATGTGAAGTGCAAGATTATTAATAGACTGTAAACATCAGATGGTTTTGAGTTTAAAGTTGGCCTGAAAGATGAACAGAAGAGCAGACTGATCACTGTAGGCCACTTTACAGCTCCTAGCTGACAGTCACATGCTAATGACAGAGATGAGCAAAATGGGCAAATGGTTGCAATAATACCTCTCTCTGAGCTCAGAGTTTATGGCAAGGGGCTGATAACTTTATGACTTCATTCCTGCCATTCTTATAGGTTGGCAAACATCAACTCATGACTTATCAACTCTTGTCAGGAACTATCTCTGTTACTTGACACAAGGAATAGCAACTGCTCTGTACAATCCCTATTGCTAGTAATGGGGTAGTATAACCATGGATGATGGAGCATTTAATAGGCCAGTCATGTGATGATACATGTGGATTGATTGGCAGTATAAACGCTCTTTCTTTCCCTTCTCAATTGGAGCAGAAGGATACGAGCCACTGGGAAAATAGAATGACTTGTAGAAAATGTATGGCTTTCAGATCTCCCACTGGGCTTATAAAAGGGTTACTGCCTGTGATTTATTTCCCAGTTTAAAACCATAAAAAATCCTTCCAGGACACTTGTTATTCCAGTAGAAAAATATTTTTTTTTTTATGAGAGAGAAAATTCCTCCAGTAGTTTTACCCCAAGCACTGCAGCATTTTGAGCTAGTGCATAGGAATCAGCAAAGTAAACAAGTGGCCTAAATAGTTCTGGATTCTTTCAGTTCTAACAATAATAAAAATGAGGAATTTTGTAAAATAGGAGTCTTAAGTTTTCCTCTTCATGAAAACTCCTGTATGAAACATGTTGCCAAAGAGTGAATCCGAGTGTCATTTGGCATAAATGAGGGAATCTCTGATGCTCAATGCATGAGTTTATTTCTTGTCCCCTGGTGACACTGCTTGTCTATGTATATCAGTGCGAGACACTGAGCTACACCATTCATTGTTTGAATAGTCATTGTCAGGCTGAACAGTGGCTTGTGGCTTTCTATACCTCTGAACCATGAAACAATGCTGGCATCACTTAAAGAGCCCTCTTTCAACAGAAGGTGCTCTTCTTCCGGGGTAGGTTTAATCATCTGTTTTTCCCCCTGCCCTTGCATTTCTCTGTGGTCTGCCTACCTCTGTTGTATATTAGAGCAATAAACAAGTATCTGAACTGCTGGGCTGTCACGTGACTGGAAGGCAAGATTAGAAAAATATCTTTGTACTCTAAGGCTGGCAACTTCTATTTTTATCCACAGCTGTTGGAGCTGATAGCAAAGTCTCAGCTAACATCACTGAGTGGAATTGCCCAGAAAAACTTCATGAACATCTTGGAAAAAGTGGTGCAGAAAGGTAAGAGAAATATAATGCCCCTGGCTTGTATCCACAGCATCTGGTGACAACCAAATCCAGGATGATCACAGTGGAAGATTGGGAAGAGGTGCAGAAGAAAACTCAGAATTGGAAGGGAGCTTAAGGGTCATCTAGTCCAATCCTGGGCACAGATGTAGGATTTGCAATATTAGACGAGTTAATCTCTTCCTGTGACTGAAGTCCACTGAAGAGCATTCCCTGGGTGGGAGTTGGGGGGGGTTGTGTACTTGGAAGTACTGTAGAAAGGCCACATGCCTCACCTTGGCTCAGTCACTGGAACAATGAATTATGAGGAAATGTGACCTCTCTAACTTGTCTAGCTCATGCTGGAGCTCTTGTCTTATTTTTATTTTTTTATTAAGATTTCAGCCCTTAATAAATTACTCTTTCTGATCTTAGGCCAAAAGTTAACTTTTTTTTTTTTTTAATAAAACCTTCAGAAGGAAGTGAATAACAAAAATATATATGAACTCCATATTCCCTTCTCTTTTTCTTGGCTTCCAAAGTCCTTGAAGATCAGCAGAACATCAGGCTAATAAAGGAATTGCTTCAGACTCTCTATCAGTCACTATGTACCCTGGTTCAAAGAGTAGGCAAGTCGGTTCTGGTTGGAAACATCAACATGTGGGTGCACAGAATGGAGGCTATCCTTCACTGGCAGCAGCAGCTGAACAACATCCAAATCACCAGGGTAAGCAAGAATCCTGGCCCTTGCTGAGAGGCAAATGATATGTTGGCTCTTTCATACAGCCTTATCATACAGCAGCTCCTGCCTGGGGGACTGGATCATCATGAGTGTTCCCAGACTGCATACAAAGCATGCTGATGGAGAAATTTGGATTGTTAAGATTTGAATTGGACCAGATAAGATAATGGAACAGGGGTTTTATTTTTGTTGTTGTTTTATTACTTCCGAGTTGAAATTTTAAACCAAGATGAAGAATGATTTTTTTGTTTTGTTTTTATTTTCCCCTTTCCCCCCAGAGTTGCATGTTTTAAATGTTCCAGGTGGCTCTGAGCTAAAACTAGATTTATCTAGGAAAAGCATGAAAGAGCCTGGCATCCTCAACTGCCCTGCAGTCACTCTGGCTTGAATGTACTGGATGTGCTGGATCCAGGATCCACTTCAAGTTGTAATGGAAGATGGGCCTGTAAATAGACATTAATTCTGTGGCTTTCGCAGGGCAGGAAGCAGCTTTCCCACCCTGAGAAACTTTAGGGTGTTAAAATTCTCCTGACCCAACTTTTAAGATGGAAAAAAAATATATCTCAATTCTTTGTAAACTGAAAATGCCAAACTCTCCATTCAAGTTTATCAAAACATTTTGTTTTAATATATATCCTCTTTTTAATCCTACATTTGCTAACACTTCCAAGTGAAGAGTTGCTAGAGTCAAACCTTTGGTTTCCAGTGCTGCAGTATGTCCTCCTTTTATAACTTGACTCTTCAATTTGAAATTAACTGTAAAAATCCCAGTCCCCTCAGTGAGAGCAGGATACAAACCTAAATAAGCTGTCATGTGAACTTTTCCCATACTAAGCCTGCAAGAGTTTAGTGAGGTGCTTGCCCTTGTAATTTCAAAGCAAGCAGTGCTGTTTCCTGTGACCAAGGAACCCTGAAGTTAAATCCACCTTCCAGCCTGAAGATTGGTGATGAGAAGGAAGTTAATGGGCAATGAGGAAAGAAGGTTCCTCTGGGCTCTGACTCAGCTATGTCCAGTGGCCATATCCTCAATCCCACAGTAATCTGTGTGGACGTATGGCCACTGCCTTCCATGGAGCACCCTATGGGTTTGGGCTTCTATTGGCATGAAGCTTGCAGAAGAATCGGGACCCAACTAGTTGACTTAATAGCTAAAAACATTTTCCCTTCTAGACTGAACCCATATCAAGTCAGGAAAGAAAGTCACCCACATCCGTTCAAAGAAATGGTGTTGATCCCAGCCAAAGTTCTGTCGTATCAGCATTTGCAAACTGAGCTGCCTGTATGTTATGTACTGGTATTTACTGGCTACAATGTGGAGGAGAGGCAGTTGGATATATTTTTTAAAGCACTGTTTGAATATCTTAAGCTGTAGAGCTTGGAAAAAAATGTCATGTTCATGCTCTGGTTAACGGCTGTTGGGTAAGTTTGAGCAAAGCCAGCTGAGGGGAGGGGAAAGGGAGAGCACAGTACCGTAGGCAGTTGGTCACTCACTGTAAGTGGGCTAAGTGTTTGGGGTATTTCTGAAGGGGAAGATGTCTTGAAACAGCCAAGAAATATAAAGTTTGGGGATGGAGGGGTAAATAGCTTGAAACCTATCTACTGAGCATGTGCAGTAATTTCTTTAAAAGAAAAAGAAACCACTTTTTTGTCTGGTTTTTTTTTTAACAACTAAAGCCTCCTCTGATCTAATCTTTCTTCTCCAAAAAAGTCATGTTTGAAATGTACTGGAAAGAAAAAAAAAAAAAAAAAA